ACTGAATGCAGGCAGGGAAGGGTGTGAATGGAGTTGCACAAGAGCTTGCATGGGAGGGGGGGTGCCAAAGGGTTTGCAATTTGCACTGAATGCAGCCAGGGAACGGTTGCAGGGCTGGGGGAAAGGGGGCTATTGAGGACTTGCAAGATGATTTTGCATGCATGGTTGGAAATGGACACCATCAATGGGTTCTAGTGCATTAGGGGGGGAGGGGGGAGAGGAGGACATGTGTTGAGGGGGTTGCACAGGGTATGGGGCGAAGGAACACGCGGGGAGAGGAGGATGGGTGTTAAGGGGGTTGCATGATGCATTGCACAAGGGGTAGACGGCAGTGACAAGGACGGTCACATAGTGTTGGAGGACATACGGGGAGAGGAGGATGAGTGTTGAGGGGGTTGCACAGGGGGGGGCGAAGGAACAGGCGGGGAGAGGAGGAGTGCTGAGGGGTTTGCGTGGTGAATTGCACAAGGGGTAGACGGGAGTGACAAGGATGGTCACATGGTGTTGGAGGACATGCGGGCAGAGGAGGATGAGTGTTGAGGGGGTTGCGCAGGGGGGGGCTGGAGGAACACACTGGGAGAGGAGGATGAGCGTTGAGGGGGTTGCATGGTGCACAAGGGGTAGACGGGAGTGACAAGGACGGTCACATGGTGTTTTACATGCATGGTTCGGGATAGGGTGTGAATGATGAGGAGATGGCAAGCTGCTTTGAATGCAATGGAGTGGAGCAGGCATTGCTGAGGGGAAAAGCGATAAGATGCCTTACAGGCAAAGCTTGAGGGGAGAGGAAGGGGGGGGGAGGGGAGGGGGGTAAGAGTGGAAATGTCAAGGCAGGTCACAAGTCAAGATTGGTTCGCACAAGTTTGGGAAGGAGTGGGAATGTCAAGTTGGTGACGGTGGTGGGGAGTGGTTGACAAATTTTACGTAAAAACGAGGAGAGGGGCGGGAGGAGGCAGAGGATTGAGGAGAATCACAAATATACTTTGCATGCAACTTTTTTTGGGGGGGGGCTTGTCAAGGGGGGCTGCAATTTCTCATCGGGCAAAGGGAGAAGGAATGTGAAGTGTAGATCACAGATGCATATACACGGATGGAAAGGTAGACACATAGCTACACACACACATTGTGTGGTACGCACCACACGGGCCCTCTTGGGCCTGGTAGTAGGTTAGGGGTTGACTAGGGGATTAGGGGGTTCCTGGTTCCTTTAGGGCCGCAGCATTGGTTTTGGTCGCCTCAGTCCCCGGTTCGGTCCGGTTCAGGGTCTTACTTTGGTATTCTGAGCGTATCTGCCAGCAGATGGGGACTGATACGGGTCCACTGGCCATTTCCCTAGGCCAGATTCGTTTGGGCGCCAGTCCTAGGATAGGAGAATTCGTTGTTAAGAAAACACATGCACACAGCCTTGCTGCAAAATTTATAATCCGTTGTCTTGCACTCATCCCCCCCCACGCCCTTACTGCTTGCCCGATATGCCATTGTGGCCTTGACATGCCGTGCTTGAGTAACTGCAAATGACAGGCTGCTTTCCGGCTGGTATGTTAGCAAACATGCCATGTGTCGTCAATGTTTCCAGGGAGAAATTATTGAAAGTATGTGTCTCTACTGTGCGGACTATCCCCAATGCCTTCACTTGCCACATCCTCCCCGTTCGCATCCCACATGCAATGTTGGGCATCCTCTGGCTGCACCCGTTATGGGGCACCTCCATTGATGCCAGATGAGCAACCGATGCAGCAGCTTGAAGTGGAGAATAAACTCTCACATGAACCACCTACGAGCTGCTGCAGACCTATCTTGCAACAGCTAAACATGCTTACTCTGCATGGTCATCGCCTGCCCATGTAGCAGGATATCGTATGCAGAAACCTAAGAAACTTGGTAAATGCTGCACTGTGATGGCCTACCTGAGATTCCACTAGCATGTGATTGGCATGCTTTCTGTCGTGAGGGATTTTTATTCGACTATAGTCACTA